AAAATAATTCCGAACGATTTTGTCGGAAAGTCGTAGAATACCGGCACTGTTCCACTGATATGAGAATTATGACTCAAATTCTGGGCAATAGTGACCAATGAAGTTATTCCTCATAGCCATATATATAGGCTTACCATATATGGTTTCCATCACTATCGATGGATATTTCTTATCAGTAGTGTTTCCTTGCTGTTTGATGGAATTGCCATTTCTTTCATTTTTTTTGGGGGGATTCCATTCGAAAACATTGAAAACATTCGAGTTTTCAACCTTTTTCGAGACTCTTCTCTATCTATTCCAAGAGTTGACTTAATTTGATAACACAAAGTTCATAAAATTGGCCAGGATTTTCTTCATGTGAAGTCGGAAAAAATTGAAAACTTCACCGTTGAAAGAAACTCGAAGAAAAAATTGAAGAGAACTAAAAAATGCATACAAATGAAATTATAAAAGTTTAAGCCGAATTAAAGTACACTTAAAGAGTGTAGAAGAATGAGAAGAGTTTGCTAAAGGAAAAAAAAAACTGAAAAAAATATCCAGAAAAATTCTAAAATAAAATCTCCCGCAAAAAAAATCGTCATCAACAATGGCATTTTGTATTTCGGTTTAGTTCAAGTAGTAAGTATCATATCGACACCGCATGAGCTCGTTTCATTTTGTAAGCGATAAGCGATGGCCTCATTGAAATTGAGTTGTATGTTTTGGGTGCAGTTATTCTTGAAATTAAGATAAGCGGTCACGATACAATGACCTAAATGAGCAATGGTACCTTGAAAATTGTGCCGACAATGACGCAGTAAGAAAAGGTATGGTAATTAACACAAGACAGCTATCGCTCAAACGGTATTGAGAGTCAAACCACAGGCATTCAACATTCATTAAGATTATTCAAAAAGGGCGCCCATCATTTTCACCCAAACGAAAACTATTTTGAGGCAACAAAAGCAGAAGGAATAATTTTCAACTGAAGTTTTTTTCTATGCAAGACATCGTGTTCGGTCGAAAAACCCGGAATGAATCATTTTCAGTAGGAAAAAGACGGCTTGTAAAACGATTCGACTTTGGATTATCCAATAAAAAAAGGCGGTTTAAAAACTACCAACGTGAAGAAAAGGACAAAAAACGCATAGATCACAAATGCACGAGAGAGAAAAAAAAATGTGTGGAAGTTGGTCCTGTGACGAGGATAAACTTTGCCCGTCAAAGAAATTTAAAGTGAATTAAAAATGTGAACGAGAGAAAAAAGAGAAGTTCAGACGGTAATTAAGACCTTTCATTGATGATGGTTTCTCTATTCGTCTCCGAGTCGACGTTTTTTTTTCCTTGTTCGTGGTGTGATATGCGTGACGGTGATCAATCAGAGTCCGTAGACATGCAATAGCTGTTTAATGAACAGGCCGAAAGAAGAAAGAAAGAAAGAAAAATCCCGGGCGGAAACCAGAAAAATTCTCATCCGTCAAAAGTTATGACATCAAAATCCCAATAACTATGATTGTATTAGTGCAATTATGCCGTTTTTATGAATAAATCTCAAACTCTTTTGGAAAATCAATCTCTTTTTCTTCCTCTTCTTCTCGTTCATTCATTCGGGGCGCACGAATTCAAACACGACTTTTTTCCGTCTTTTATTCGATGTCATTGTGTAAGCTGAAAGAAACAAGCGAAATTATCGATTAAAATCGGATTTAACATGGTGGAACACACAATGAAAGTGCAACGACGATGGGGTTGAATGCAACTGCAAAACCGCAAATCAGTTCGATTAACGTCGAATATTTGTGATTCGATGAAAACATACTCCGACCGAATGATGATTGAACGAACCGTTTGCCGCGTGTTTCGCTCCGTGTGACTTATTCGCCGATGTATCAATGTCAAAGCCACAAAACGAAGCAAAACATCTGCATTCCGTTTGTGTTTCGGTCGACGATGCGAAACTCAAAAAATTATTATGTAATGAAGCCAGAAACAAAGACTTTGAAAATGATGGGAAAGACTCTATTAAATGTGATAATCTGTTTAAAAGATTTGCGTTCAGACAACAACATTTTTTGTTCGTTGCTTCGTCTTCGACGAGCATTCACGAAGCCAAAACGGAAGAAGCGCATTCAATAATCACCGACGAAGAATAAGACAAAAGCAACAGTGCATAATTTCCTACACTCAGTTCATATTAAATTACCTTTATGAGTTTCCCTTTGTTTTACGCTGTGTGTTTCTCCTTTGGGAGCAGCAACGGCAACGACGACGACAACGGCGGCGGTATTTAAGTGTGTGAATCAATCCTTCAGTTTCCCACTTGACCAACGCACTAATATACGTTTTTTTGTACACAAAAAAACGCAAAAACTACACATTTTGCGCACTTGAAATTGTTTGAACGCACATTTTTTTCCTTCTAGACACGTTTCAACACATCGATGTGGAAGCAAAGAGGCTTCAAGACAAAAAAAAAAACAACGGAAAATAATTTGGTTGGGAACAGAAAATCGTAATGAGATTTAGTTGCAGCGATTAGATTGAGTGTGGGAACGATGAAACCATCGGTATTTTACTCTAACCATCGGTTACGCTTGCATAAGCATGGGTCAAGTCACGACAGCTGATCTGCATATATCTCTTTAAGATCTCTCAACGTTATTTTTGTGTCCTTTCGGCTGCACTGACACGATTATTTGCTTCCGCTTTTGATTGCGCTCTCACTTTCTTCGGCGTGGTGAGAAAAGGCCTCAATGTTGTACACCTTCAAGGATGTTCGTTCTTTAATTGGTAACTAATTTTGAACCATTGAACAAATCATGGGAATTTCACTTGACGCCAAATACTGTGTGAACGTCGAGTTTTTTTTTCCCATTGAAGGGTTTTCGTTTAAAGAATTGGTGGGAGTTCAGACTGGTTCGTGCACAGATGAGTTAGTGATTTGAATCGACAAAGTTGGTTTTTAAAACAAATTCGACACAGTTAGAATTTTAAAAAGGAATTTTCTAATTTTTCTTTCAAAAAAGGCAATTTTGATTCGAAAAAGGGATTTTTCGATACAAGTTGACCCAATTTCGATTCAAGTTGACGACGTTTTGATCCAGATCGACGAAGCTTCCATTTGAATTGGCGTGTTTTGTGTTCAGAGTCTGAAGTTCAGACTCTGAATTTCAGACAAAATGAGTTTCATTCAAAATCAGATGTTTCGATCGAAATTGACGCAGACTCATTCCAATGATTGGAATTCAATCCGAGTAATTTTGGTTAAAATGAATCGATGAAGTTTAGTCAAAATCAGAGCAACGATAACTTCGAAAAGAATTTTTATTGAAAAAATATATCGATTTTATTCATATATCGAGTTTGAGTATCAATTTTTTCACCATTTAAATCACTTGTTTTAACAAAAATAACGAAATTTATCGAAAAAGGTATAATTATTTGCAATAATCGTTTTGCGGTTTTAATCAATTTGACTCAATGTCGGTTTGTTTCTACCAATTGGTCTGAATTGTTGCAAAAGATTGTACCAATATTAATGCTGACAACTGGACTATGATTAAACAATAAAATTTAGTGTCTTAACGGAAAAATATAACAAGTGGTCCTTAAAATTTACACTGTTTGTACCATTTCAGATTTGTTTCGCTTCAAATTAAATTACAACGCTCTATCGTCAATGCAAAAATTACATTTTTTTTCACTTATTACGCGAGAAAGTTCTATTTCACAGCAATACTTGTACCGTTGAAGACGATGCCGTAGGAAAAGTGCGAATCGCTTATGATTCTGTTTATCATTCGTCGCGATTTGATTTCATTTAGGGCAATTCAATGTTCGGTAGATCTTCAATCGACATATTGCATCGGCCGACACTTCGCGTCATTTGGTCTTTGATCAGTTGGACAATGTCTCTACGTTTGTTCGTTACGACCTCTGGATCGAACCAATTGTCCAAGTTTTTTATGGGAATCGCGAAGTCTTCTATCGGATCCTGTGAAATGGAAATGAAGGGTTTTAAGGGATGAGAAGATGTCGTTCAAACGTTGATAACTGAACATTTTAGCAAAGTTGAACGATTCAATCTTATGAAAAACCATGAATTTGTGTATGTTTTTGAATGGAACTTTCGGGCAACAAGCAACTGTCACCACTGCCACTTGTCAATGGGAAAGTAAGCATAGTTAACGTCGCCAATGAATCATGTCATAAATCTAACATACCTTGAAGAATTGTTCGATGTATTGCAGCATGAACAGGCCACAATCGGAACAATTGGTCTGTCGTGGAACTCTAACGTGATGTCCGGGCATAGCCGTTGCATCGAATGTTTTATCATCGCCATTTGTCACCTTGACTTTGTATTCGCACGCTAAGTATTCACGAAGAACCGAAATTACTTTGCGGTCTACACCCGACGACATTGAATCGAATATCAAAATGCATGATCTAAATGGGGAAAGAAAATTAACAAAATTCATTAATTCAAAGTGTTCCAATCTCAATCGATAAACGAAAGAATGATTCCATTGAAAAAGGGCGAAAACGTTTTGACTTTCTCTTTGAAAGCCAATTTTACCTTTTGGTCGTAGCATTTTCGTCATCGTTCGCCTCTTCATCGCTCGAAGATGCTTTGGCCTTGGTACGTTTGGTTGATTTTGTCGTGCTCGACTTGCGTGCGGCTCCGTTTGTCTCCGGCTCTTTCAATCCAGGAAAGCAAATGATGGCCAAAAACCAGTGCTTGCTTTGATTGATCGGCACTATGACGAAATCCTTTTCGAACAGATTCACATTTTTCGTCCATTTTTCAACACGCTCATGACGCCTATGGGCACGATTCCTAAAGTTTGAAGTTGAATCGCTCGTCGGTCTTGCCGACAACGCTTCGTAAAAGAACGTATTGAAAATGTGGGTCTTTGCTTCTTGCTCCGGTGTTAGCACCTCTCGTGCTATGTACTGAAGATAAAAGTTGATAATCACATCGTTCAAAAATTCATCGACGGCCAAACACTGAAAATCGGGCACTGTGATCGAAATAGCACCGGCACCACTCGATGGATACGACACAATGTGATCAATATTGCTCTCGTTGTTGTTATTCTTGCTCAGTTGCTTTTTCAACGGATTACGCTTCTTTTCCACTTTCACAGCTCTTGGTTTCATCTTTATTTTTGCAAAAAGCCGAACACCATCACGAGGAATCTCATCATAAATCGAGAAAAATTGCTTGAGCTTCCCTTTGATGACATCGTCTAGCGGTTCAGTTTCCATGACAATCCAATTTTGCACTGAATTTTGAGAAAATCAATTGAATTTGGATGTTTAAGCATTTTGTCGTTCGATAGCATAGAGAATAGTTAAATGGAACAAAAACGGAGGAGAGAAACAAAGTGGAAAATTGACTTTCAAATACGAATGACGAGGCAATCTCGCCGATTCATATTGGAATTAACGAGAAAAAAAATCAAAGCAGAATTTCTTTCCCGAAGCAGAGAAATGAAGAGTTCATGAAAATCAATAAATTGTCCACGAAAATTAAAGAAGAAGAAATTTTTTTCAGAAGAAGAAGAAAAATTGGGGAAAAACTTATCAAAAATGTTGGACATGTCGATTGAAAATAATGTAAAAGGGGAAAAGACACGACTCCTAATTGCAAATACAACAAAAAAACGAAAGAAAATGCTTACTTGGTGATGTGCTTTCCTCGTACAGGCTCCGTAGATTTTCAATGCATTCCGTTTGAACGTGAAACACCAGAATGGCTTCTTCTTCGAAATTGCAAACGAGCTTGACAATGTGCTTCTTTTCAATGATCAATGTGACATTTTCCTCGGGATTCGCAGGACTCGGCATCACAATCCGTAGACATTTGTCGTGCAAGCTGACGCGTTCCGTCGGTTTGGTAGCAATTCCCCCGAACACAATACGAGTCGCCTCGAACTTAATCAATTCAACTGAAAATCAAGGGAATCATCCAAAATACGATTAAAACCACTGAAAACTTTGAAAATAGTAAAGAAAATTCCATCTGATTCTTTGGATTGGAATCTTGAAAATTCTCAGAATTGGAATGAATATTACGAAGCAAGTCAGATGTGTTATAAAGTCAAAAACAAACGATAAAATTTCGAAAATAAGCACCAGAATCCGATGAAAAGAAATAAAATCAAAACTTGACATTTTCAACCCATTAAAAAACACTGAACATGACGTTCGAAACATGAAAAAAAAAACTGAAAAAAAACACAATTGAATGAATTGCTCCAACATGGCATAGACCAACACCAACAAGTGTCAATGTGAAAAAAAATGCGACGCAAATAACAAAGTCGCTACACACAAGCAAGTTCGATGGATTTGACATCTCTCCGAAATGAATTTCTCATGGGGATTAAATCAAGTTATTCTGACGGAAAAATTATTCCAACTAAGAAAAAATTTGAACAAAAAATTGCGTCTTACTCGAAACAAATGAAAAATTCTCAATTTCAAATAAGAAATCCAATGTCAAAATGTAACACAAAAAACATGCTCCAGCTGATCCGGTGTAAACAGTGGTTCAATGACAAACAAGCGATACACAGCAACAAAAAGAAGCTAAATCGCCATCAAAACATAAAAACCACCATTGTAAACAAGAAAAAAAAAGTTGAAAAAAGTCCTTACCAGCCATTTCACGGCAATGTTTTCATGAAATTCACAACTTTTCCGCGCTTATGTTTAATATTCTTCCGTTGTTTCGATTCTAATGCGAATGACAACAAAATAACTCACATTGTTTGGCACAAACCATTTGCCGCCAACTGAGATGCGTTTGTGTTTGATTGTTGTTGCTGAAATTGCGATTGAATGTTACCTATTTTAAGGTTAGGACATGACACTACGCACGACTTTGAATATACTTCGCGCCAATACGTTGAAACTGAACCGACTCAGTTGTTAGTACAAAGGGAAGAATTGGATTTTGAATTGAAATTTTTTTTTGAGATTTTAAGGCAGAAAAGTGGCGAACAGCAATAAAATTTCTGGGTTTATACAAGGGCAGTTCTTGGATTTGAATAAAAATGAAGAATCAAATGAATTTTATGGATAAAAATTGATAAAAAAAACCAAAAGTCTTCACTTGAGTTAGACAATCTGGGCTTGTTAATTTCACGTCTAATTTTTATCCAAAGTAATTTTTTTCGGAAAATGATTTTTTCCTCATTGCTTTGATTCCAGTTTGAAAATGATTTAACTTAAATCTAAAAATTCAAACGAACATTCTCTCCACGTAAATGAAACGAAATCGTTTTCGAATACAATCTCGTTAGCTGTCACTGTCAAACTGGTTCTCACACACAAAGTTCAACACAACTGTCATTCACGTGTGTATCAAAACATAGGCTAAACATTGCTTTCTATTAACCATTTCAGTTGTTGCCTACGAAATTGAATTTGCTGTGTAAAGAAAATTGACGGGACGGAAAATTATGGCTGAACAGTACAAGTACGATTATTTGTTATATTTAAAAATTTGCATCACACTTGAAAATCAGTGAAAATGCTGGAATTTACTCAAAAAAGTGTGAAACCTAACCTCAAAATCGATCTCATTTTTGTTTGTAGAATAATTCATCCCATCAAATATTATCGGAATTACATAGCCCATGATATTCGGCCCGACGGCAGAGAGTTTGAAGCATTTCGACCCATTCGAATAAACGCCAAATCCATTGGAACGGCCGATGGATCAGCTATCGTTAAGCTAGGCAATACAACCGTCATCTGTGGCATCAAAGCGGTTAGTTATTAGAAATACGTTCGGAATTGATGTTGAATGAATTTTACAATGTATTTGAAATCGGAAATTGAATGTTTTACGATTGAAAATCGACTCATAAGATTGAGAATTCGAATCGCCTCTTAAGATAACTCTTCATTGTGAATTCTATTTGATAGACCTATCAATGATAGTACAAAAAACTTTTGAATTCACTTCATAAATTAATGATCGATTTAAGAATGATATTCCAATGATTGTTTTCCAATATGTTACAGGAATTATCCGCGCCAAGTGTTGAGGAGCCAGAGAAAGGATTTCTTATTCCAAATATTGACTTGACGCCACTGTGTTCGCCAAAGTATCGATCAAACAACACAAACGATGATGCTCAGGTGTTGACGTGTAATTTGAATGATCTGATTAAAGATGCTAACTGGATCGATCTGAAGCAATTGTGCATAGCTAGAGAGAAACTCGTGTGGACACTGTTTTGCGATATCACATGCCTTGACTATGATGGAAGCATTTTGGATGCGTCGGTGGTCGCACTGTGTGCAGCGTTGAGAAGTTGTAAGTAAAATGACCTTGACTCACATGGTTCAACTGTCCAACTTCCTCTTGTTTTGTTCTAATTTCGCTAATGAAAACTTTTTTTCCAACAGTGACATTGCCAAAAATACAGTTTGACCTGGAAACCAACAACTACACAGTGCACAAAACAATACGGGAACCACTGGATTTGTCTGATGCGTGCCCCGTCTGTACGACAGCAATGATTTTTGATGAGTAAGTTCTGGGAAATGAAACAAACTCCTAATTTACAAACGAAAAAATATGAAATCTCCTAATCTTCGATAAGAAATGGAAATGTTCAATAAATTGGCATAAAATAGATATTTTTCTGGCATAACCAGCAAATAATCAATAAAATACCTGTCGTGAGTACACGACTTTTACATCTTCCCAATTTTGTCTCAAATCTCAACTTTGACGTCTATTAAAATAAGTAAGAAAATTTAATATTGAATAACAAATTCAATCGTACAATTGATTCGACATCAATTCAAACCATAAAAAATGTCTTCATCAATTAGAACGAGAAGAAAAATTTGATGAATTCAAAAAAATGAGTAAAAAATTTCAAAAATTATAAAATGCAATCAATTGAAAGCTAAAAAACTAAAACGTTTCTATTTTCTCACACAGAAAAACGGTATTCGCTGATCCAGACGCTGAAGAAGAAGAGTTGGCCACATCGTTAATAACAATCGGCACATGCAATGGTGAAATGTGCCTCGTGCTGAAGCCGGGTGGTGTTTCAATAAGCGATAAACAATTCGAAGCATGTCTAAAGCTGGCGCTGAACCGTGAAAAGTCCATTTGTGAATTGATTTCATCGATTTTAGAGGAAAAATAAGCGAATAAAAATAGAAAACTGAATTTTAAGCAAAAACAAAACAAACAAAAATAAACTCCATGAAAAGAACAAAAGTCGCATGTTTTTCTGTTTTAAATAATTGTTCAACGAAAATTTATTGAAATATTAAATCAAATATAAAACAGGTAGGTTGTGGTATTTGTTTTGTGTTTTATTTGCTGGCTTCGCTGAGTTCGTCCAAAATGATTTGTTTATAACAATCGATGCCGCCTTCAATATTGGTCACCGTACCGTTGCCACACACCCACAGCTCTTTGCATACGACACGAATGAGTCGTTCATCGTGAGAAACGAGAATCAAGCCACCTTGGAATGTGGTCAGAGCTTTGCCCAGTGCCGCAATTGTTTCGATGTCCAAATGATTGGTCGGTTCATCGAGAATGAGGAAATTTGGTCGTGCCATGCACATTTTGGCGAGTGTAACACGGGATTTTTGCCCTCCCGACAAACTGGCGACCAGTTGCAGTGCCAAATCACCGGATATTCCAAAACCACCGAGTTGACGACGATATTCTTCAACGGGCCGACCAGGGAAGGCCTCTTGTAACAAACCAACACACGTCGTATTCATATTCAATTGATCGACGTGATGTTGCGCAAAATAGCCCACTTTCAAACCACGATGCTGTGATATCGTTCCACTTGTTGGCGACAAAATGCCCATGACAATTTTTAACAGTGTCGTTTTACCCGCTCCATTCTCACCCACAATACAGATTCGCGAATCCAAATTGGCACTTAAATTCACACACGTGAAAATCACTTTGTCCTTGTTGTATTTAAATGCAATCTCGTTGAGCGTCAGCACAGGCGGATTTAGTGGCTCAACTTCGGGGAATTTCAATACCACCTCGACTTCTTTTTCCACGGGCTTCAATTCCGGTCTGTAGATAGAAAATCAAGATTTAGGTTAGTTTTCATGGTTTTTTTTGCGTTTTTTTTTTTTTGGAAAAATCTGAATGATGAAGATACAAAGATTGAATCGAACATGGTTCAATGGACAGTACTCGAAGAAAATTAACGAAAAAAAAAAAATTGGAAAATAAGAAGATCATTAACCTTTTTTCAATTAAAAACACTTACAATTTCTCTAGCATTTTAATCTTCGACTGAACGCTAGCCGCTCGATTGGCATTGTAACGGAAGCGATCGATGAATTCTTGCACGTGTTGCCGATGCGCCAATTGAGCTTCATATTCACGGCGTTGTGATTTCATTTTTTCGGTTCGTGTTTTGTCGAATTGCTCATAATTGCCACGGTATACATCGATACGTTGCGTATGCAAGTGAAGAATGTCGGTTGGTACGGTGTCCAAGAAGTTACGATCGTGAGAAACAACCAGCAGCGTTGTTGGCCAATTTTGCAGATAATTTTCTAACCAAATGATTGCTTTTATGCTGCAAAATAGAGAATATCGATTGTTAGTTTAATTCACACAGTGCGTCTATAGACACACTCTATAGAGTTAGTAAAATACAGAGAGAAAATGTATATCTCTCAGATTCTGCCACCCATTCTCATTGAAGCTTGAGCTCACTCTAGAGTATAAACAAATTGCTTAAAAATGGTTACGTACTCCAACATGTTGGTCGGTTCATCAAGCAACAGAAGGTCAGGCCGTGAGAATAGCGCTCTAGCTAAGGCGAGACGCATTCTCCATCCGCCCGAAAAGGTTTTCGTGGCACGTGCTTGCATATCTTTGTTGAAGCCCAAACCATTTAAAATGACCGATGCCCGTGCTGGTGCCTTGTCCGCATCGATATTTTCCAAAGCAGCATACACTTCCGTCAGTTTCTTATTGAGTTCAGGATCTGCAGCGCCGGCATTGATTTGACTATTGATTTCTTTCTCTTCGGCCAATAATCGTGCTCGCACAAAGTCACACTCGAGTACACTAGAATGGGGAAAAAAGTGTGTTAGATCGAACATTTTGAACGAATTGAAAAGTGAAAGAATTTGCTATCATTGGACTGCCAACTTATGAAACAGGCTAGAGCGACATGAATGTATGGGAAAGAATTATGTGAAAAGAAAAAAAAACATGAAAAATTCAAAGAAGAAGACTGCAATTGCCCTTATGCCAAGAAAAAAAACATGAAGACCCATTAATTTACCTGGCCAAAGCGGTGGTGTCATCGCCAATGACTTCTTGTTCAACGTGCAATATCGAGATATGTGATGGAATTTGTAATTGTTTCTCCGAAATCATTCGCAGCAATGTGGTTTTGCCAAGACCATTTCTCCCCACCAAACCGTATCGTCGACCACTTGCCAGCAATAGATCCGCATTCTGTAGCAACACTTTATTACCAAAGGAAACGTCAAAGTTTTCGATTCGAATGTCCATGGAACGATTGGTGCCTTTGGCATCCATTTGGCTATCTTTTTTGTTGATGACCTGTGATGCGGTCGCTTGTTGCAGTTGAATTGGTGCCGATGGCCCTTTCGGCACTTCAGCACGTTTTTCTAACTTTTGTTGTAATTTTTGTTCGGCTTTTTCCAGTTTCTTTGAATCGACTTTCTGTAAGAAAAGAAAAGGGAATTGAAATTAGGGAATCACAAGTGACACATCAAAAAGACACATTTAGAAAATATTCTGGAATTGAAGGTGGGTTATCAATGTAGATAAAAAGAATATTGAGAAAACATATTGAATCAGGCTCAATGCTCATCAAAGCCTATATTCAAAGACGCAACAAGACTTGAGCTCATCATTTTTGTAGAAATTCCACAACAATCAACACAGTCAACCGAAGCACACAGACAAAAACCGAAACAATAACATACGAGATTATCATCACGATTGATGACCCAAATACTGGACACATCGGCATTGTTTTCAGCATTGGCAGCCATCTGAGCAAGATTAATCGGTGCATCGAGAACTTTTTGTACGCCACTTTTTTTCTGGTCTTTCGGTTTCATCAAGCACAGCAGCTGTTCGCATAAATCCCTTCAAAACACAAAACATCACCATTAAATCAACGTAATTAGTAAGCACTTGCTGTTTTGTTGCATTTCAATCCCCTACCGGATATCATTTTCGGATTTTTCAATGGAAACTTCATGTAAAATTGCACCAATAGCTTCGTACAAGTCATCACTCGATTCAAAATCGTCCATGCCACTGTCCAGTACACCTTCAATATACTGTTTCATTTCGTCATCAATTGATGGAAATTCCTGCAAAACACAACACATTTTCAATTAAAGAAACGTATGTTTTACTGCACTTGAGCTCCCATACCTGCTTCAGTAGACTTGCACACTTTGCCGTCGACATATTCGATGTTTAATTTATCACAAATGCGACTTTTATTCAAGTGTATGTCAAAAAATTATTGAATGATGATGATGATGACCTTTTTGTAAGAGAAATTCACATCAAGTGAATAAATACAACAACTAAATCAACTTTCGGTCACCACTCATACACACACTGAGAGAGAGAGAGAGAAAAAGTGAACTAATGGCGGAACCCAAATTCAATTGTAGTACCACGCGAATCAACTTTTTTAAATTCGAATCGCTTGTGAAATTGGTGAAACAAAAAATGTCCACAAAAACTGTCACTCATGCCACTCACAGAGAAAAATGAGCAAAATCACAATTGAGAGAGAAAAAAATGCCAATTCAGTCAGCCTGCACAATACAATCGTTCGCGTAGCGATGTTTCAGGCCTCACACATGGGTTGCCTTTTGCAAAGCAATAGAAATGAGGGAAAAAAGTCGAGAAAGAGAGAGAGAGAGAGAGAAAGAGAGAGAAAGGGAGAGATGAAAATCATTCGTTTCAGTGTCAAATTGTGTGTTTACGTGTGCGTGTATGTGGTGCTCTCATACGTTGAGCGATTTTTTTCCAGTCAGCCCGGTGACAGTTCAGCGATGTGTCAAGTTTGACGTTGACAGAAGCCACTCTCATAATAACAACTCTCTCTCTCTCTCATTTCGCCGATTTTCAAACTGCGTGACATTTTTTTTGTTTGCCCAAACTTATATTTATTATTCTATTTAATAGAAAAAGAAGAAGATTGACTTCATCGTTTTTTTTTTCGATGATAAGAAAAAAAATCCGCAAAAGTGCTAAAATTAGAAGGAATGTCACCTTGTGAACGCAGTTAAAGACAAAGAGTAAACCAGACAACTGGCCAAAGATACAAATTGTAATCAAACAATAATAACCGAAGAGAAAAGCCACAAAGCTGCATTTGAGGTTTGTTTATTCTTTGTCACAAAACCACAATATTTTGTCATTGTGCAATTTATCGTAATTTTATCGTTTTTATCAATTTTTTTTTACTTTTTTCTCGTCTTTTTTTCTGGTTTTCTTCTGGTTTCATAGAAATTAGATAAAACCAATTTCGATTGCTGCAAATAAAACCAATGTTTTGAACGAATGCTTCATTAGTCGCATGAAGTTAGGTAATGATCGTTCTATCTCCATTCGCTGCCCGTAGTAGAGTCTTGCATTTAATATCAATTCCCAAATTTCGACCGACATTGCGATCGTTCAGTGCAAAAATGTCAAGTGATTTGTATATAACACGAGCCCGTCAGTGTGTGCCGCTGCTCAGCAATGAATTGCACAAAGGGCAAGCGGGTCGAGTTGGTGTTATTGGCGGTTCGTTTGAATACACTGGAGCGCCATTTTTCGCGGCAATGAGGTAAGTATAGCACAAAATTCAAGCACATCACACACAAACTCACTCAAGTCGAAACCAAAATTCTCTCTCGAACCAAAAATTGCCGTCGGCAACTCATTCATTTTGCTTTTTTTTTTGCAGTGCATTGAAATTCGGAGCCGATGTTGTGCACTTGTTCTGTATTCGCGATGCGGCTATTCCAATTAAATCGTACAGTCCCGAGATAATGGTGCATCCGGTGTTGGACGATCCAAGTGATCCGATCAAATTGATTACGCCATGGTTGGATCGGCTGCATGTGGTTGTGATTGGGCCTGGTTTAGGCCGTGATCCAGCTGTATTTGCCACTATTCGACGACTCTTGGCGGTGTGTCGTGAGATGGGAAAACCACTTGTCATCGATGCCGACGCATTATTCCTGGTCTCACAAGATTTATCGCTCATTGCCAATTACCCCGGGGCTATCATTACACCAAATATCGTGGAGTTTAGCCGCATTTTCGGCGATGGTGATGATCACACGGAGAAATTCGACCAAATTGGAGCTTCGGTTACAATTCTCAAGAAAGGTTTCAGCGATACGATTTACAGTGGAGTGAATAAAGTTGGCGATTTGGTCACGGTTCAGGGTGGCAAAGGACGGCGATGTGGCGGTCAAGGTGACATATTAGCCGGGTGTACAGCCGTTCTTTATGCTTGGGCTTTGAAAGCAGAAGAAACCGAACCAGCCAAAGTTGCTTGCGTTGGAGCTAGCCATTTTGTGAAAGTATTGAATGAAACGACGTTTGCAGCGAAGGGACGCAGCATGACTCCCACCGATATGATCGAACACATTCATGACGTTTTTGATACACATTTTGAACGCAAGTGAAGGGAGAGGGCGATTTGAAACGGATATTTGGAGAAAATGTACGGGCTATGGGAACTTTGATGGAAATAGGAGATTGATTGAGCCAATATTGATTATTTTTTGCATCATTCTTTGTTATGAATATACATTTTGATTTGAAAAATAAAATTTTGAAAGCCTTAACTAATTTAAATACAACTAAAAATCCTTAACACAGAAAGTGGTGTCGCCGTATTGTCACTAACATATAGTGGTGAAAAGCACCAACTTGGAGATTTTTCTGGACTGCTCTTCGCAATTTGTTTGTGATTTTTTTTCTAAATATTTGAGCGTTATCGGTTGACGTTTCTAGCGAGGAAAATTCGTCACCTCACACAGTCAATATAGACGAAGTCCGATCCACGAGAAAGACTTAACGCTTTTATTTATAGAATGAGCAGATTATTAGCGTAAAGCGAATGCGTCAGCGCAATCGATGCGTAAGATTTGCCTGCGATTCACGCGCTTAAAGTACCCTTTAAATATACCTTTGACTATGTATTAAACTGGATATTAAATAAGCGGAAGCATGATAATGGGATACACGCTGTAAATTTATAGAGTATTTTACTCACTGACCATTCATTGTTACACAGTGCAACAATAAAAAAAAAAAATTAAACGAATTGGACTTGGCACATCCCACGTTTTGGTATTACTATAGCTGAGTAAAACCTCAACTGGGTTTTGCAAAATTGGTTGGCATTTTTATTTTATCGACCTTTGTAATTTTTCTTCAACACGGGTTGTATTTCTTTCAGCACTTTGTAAACACATTTTATAAAAGATTAATTTTTGTCACTCGAGACAGAGAGATTGGGCTTTATTTTTTTTCATACAGATTTAGTTTTCAAAAAATCAAAATACATCGTATGAGTGATTCTCGAAAAAACGCTTGACATTTGGTTCATCTTTTCTTCATATTGAAATATTATCGTAATAAATTGGCTTTCAATTGAACTTTGTGATGCGACCGGTAAAAACGACGGTTTTCGTTTCTCTATCCCAAATGTAATATAGAAATGGATGATCAACGTGGAATTTTTCTATCGGAAGTATTATTGGAGGATCGCATCGCACATGAATCCTTACTAGTGCTAGAAAATCAAAATATAAATTATTTCAAAATCAGTTAAACACGTTACACACAAAGTTAAAATGGTTTTTATCATACATGCAGCAGCCTCCTCCAAACCGTCCTCGGTAACATCAATGAGAGTCTTGTGAATAACGCTATCTACATACAATTGTTGCATTGTACCAGAAATTCCAGGGAAATTGGCTTTGTTTTGATCGAACATTTCAACCATACCCAACTAGTTGGAAAAAAAATCGTTATCAATTTTCATCAAAAGAAATATTGTTTTTTATACGTACTCTTTTCAAAATGTCATTTAACTTAATTTCTTGTTCAGCCTTAAATTTGGAAATCATGACATCAACTCCAAGAACTCCCTAAAGCGAAAAATCCTCAAATATTCCTGCTAAATCAACATTTTTCAATTTTTTTTTCAAGTGCAGACAGTCCCGTTCGGATCCATGGTAAAAGTATGATGAATGAATAATTTGAGTTGGCGTACTTCAGTTCAAGTGTATCGACCTTCAGCTCGCCATATTTCATGTGGCCGAAATTACTTGTGATTTTCATGTAATCAACACGAACCGTTTCATTATCGTTAATGTAAAAATCGCCCTCAGTCGTGAGATTCTTGTTGAATTTGATTTTCCAATTGCTTTTAAAATAGACGGCATTTATTATCATGGCAGCTGTGTCACTGTTGATGCTTTCTGGTTGAATGATATTCTGGATTTTCCCATGTGTTTTATCTTCGATGAAATCGTTTATGATTTGGGCTGTTTTCTTTTTATTGTCAAAATTCAAAGATTCAACGCCACATGAGAACTTCTTAAGAGATACTTTTCGAAATTTTTTCTTCAACAAAACCTTATCGTTTACGTAAATTTGATTTGCCATCAATAAATCGGTGCTTATCTTACTATTCCGAAGCAATTTGTTGTATTCATAAAATTGATTTGCTGTGATTGTTTTATTATTGTTTAAATATAAGGAATTTTTCATTTTGTTGTATGTACCTCCGTAGGCTGCTTGTGAAAGAAGTGCGAGTGTATTCAAAATAGATATTGGAGAAAAAAGAAGGTTGCCATCGGTTGTTCGAATATATTGCTGACAAAAAAAAAATATTGACATTTTATAATTTCTGCTCGGTGTAGTATGTATTCATATGAAAATGGCCCAATTGAGTTAGAGCTTGTCTTAGTCTGTGATTAATGAGAACAATTACCATATACGGGTTTATAGTTAAAATTACCTGATATAAATCGGATGTAAAATTGCCAATCCCATTTGTTAGTTCACTTAACTGAACTGATGTCGCAAGATTTTGTGACGACATCGCTTATAGTTTGCGTAAAAAGGAAGTCACAATTTCCACTTGAAGTTGACGAATGACTTCCATTCTTCTTCATGAATGGTTTTAAACCAATTTTGCTACTTACGTTCAACAATAATCTCAACCAAACCAACTATGTAGGCATGCAAAATGGCATGATAACGCAATGCCACTATTGTATCATTTAGTATTTCACGATTAGAAAGAATCACTTGGGTTCATCCATAGTCCAAAGTTTTCCATCCATATTTAGAAATGTTTGGAATTTTCGATTCATTTTATTTTTTCATGCAAGTGATAATGTTCCATAAATTTAACATACTTTATTGTTTCTTATCTTTCTCAAATAACGAAGCCATACTAAGGATGACTAAAAAAACGTTTTTAAACTTCAACAAATAGCGATAGCCACGTATCTTCGAAGTAAACTGTTCGTTCAATGCGATCGATGTCAGGAAAAATAAAAAAGGAAAAATGTGCAACAAGAAATTGCTATCCCGCATACATCATTGCATACATTAATTTTATATTTGATATTCGGTTCGGACACTAACACACACAAACACAAAACGTTGTCGAGCATTGGCAAGCGATAAAAATTCAAAACAACAGAATAAGCTGTGATTCAAGAAATCCGGATGGATCAATAATCAATGCCTAAACATCTGAAAAGTTTCTTTCGATTCAATCATTCTTTGCTATTCAAATTACCCTTAAGAGACGTTTTAACACTGATAATAATAGAATACAATGAATTGAATGTTATGAATCATCTGATAAAGAATCTTTGCGAATACATTTTCGTATTCAGATAATTTTATGAATTCATAACATAATCTATGTGTATGATAGGGTGTTTAAAATCGTATAAAATCAAAAACGGCGGGACTAAGTCGCCTTTGTGGGTCAAAATTCGACCAAATATCCATTTTTTTGGCTACTTTTTCGCCAATACTCACCTCCGGAGCCCAAAAAATCTCAAATGCATGGCTAAAAATGACTCTACTTAGTCTAATTTCTGACGAAAAATCCAAATATGATCATTAATTGTACGTAAAATACTGATTTGGTGGCTTGAGTGGCTCAAATATACTCGAAAATAGCCAAAAAGTCGCCATTTTACGCTATATATAGCTAAATAAGTACGTTTTTTTTAAATTTGAAACGTCTGAGGAGCTATTTCCACTTAATTTTTATCGTAAAATTGATTTCCGCTTTTATTTTATAAGATTCATGTGATTTTGGTGACAAAAAATGCGTTTATTTTAAGCAAAATGAGAAAATTACGCCAATGAGCTTCAGTATAACACTGATATTACCTCACTGAGCAAACAATTTCTGCCTTTGCTGCCTTTAAACTTCAAGTGTGATCCGTTACAAACATTTAGAGTGCCTACATGATCAAATCGAGTAATGTTTTCACATATTTCTGGCCTCATATTCGGTTGGTTCGACTTCAACTCTCAAAAAATCGACTTTTCATCGGAAAATCCTCAAATATACACTTTTCAGGGTACATATCTTGGTCCAAAGTTATTTTCCCTCGAAAATAAGAGGATTCTTCTCAGCCAAAAACTCTTAAAAGTGGCTTTTTAAGGTAATTCATATTTGGAACGCAACGAGCTCATAACTTAGTATTGCGCCATCTGTTAAATTAGTTGCACATCGAAAACGAGAATCACTTTGACACATCGTTAAGTGGATTGGTTTTCCTCAGAGAGCACTGTCCGCACCAATTCAAACTGTCACCCAAAATGATAAGAGCTGCTTGAGAAGTGGTTGAAAGAATGTTGAAATTGAACGACGGTCGTGTGTGTGAAATGAGTATTTGTTAATTAACCGGCATTTTAGCGATGAATTCGAGCGAATGAAAAATCGGTGGTGTTAATAAAGAAATCGACAAAATGTCAATGTCCATCGATTAATCATTGCAATGATGGTTTTTCTCGTCCAGAAAATCCCGTAAAAAAGTCGCCTCAAAAATTGTCTCAGAAAATTGGTCAGTGAAAATGCAAAAAGAAAAGCGTTTCTATTGAGTGCATCGAGTGAAGAAGGCCGAAAAAAATAGATCAGTGTTGATTTGGGAATTAATCGGAATTCCATGCGAAAGGTAAATATGAGTGTGTGTTTAGAACCGGGCGCAATGGGTGCAGTGTTAAAATGCGGAAATATTGAGTGTTCTGAGCACAGAGTGGCAGATTGACCGCATCGAAACTGGTTTTTGAACGAGTTTATCCAATCTATGTCATTCATTTTATCATTTCACCGATGACAGACCGATCGCATCGATCGACAAAAATCATTCCCAATCACACACAATCGTTCAACACACTCACACAAATTCGAAAGTATTGGGTGAATCTTCATCCGAATAAAAAAAATTCTCTCAATAATTGCTCTTCGAACCGAAGAAGCGCGTTTGTTTTGAAAGCAGTTTGTTTGGATTTATTTTTTGTGCGGTGGATTGCTATTGAACAATGTATGTCAAATTGAATCCACTTGTTGGCTGTGTGAAAAGTGTAAGTGTTTGACCAATTTCGAAGCAATTACATGTTGCTTGGAAACTATTAGAAATACATTAACCATCCAATACATTAAGGTGCCAGTGTCATTAACTTAAATTGCCCAAAGACTTTCGGGCAATTTTCATTTTCTCTTCGCCGCCTCGGGGAAACCAATCGTATTTTCAAGCAGAATCGGTCGAAACGTTGGCCACTTCGTTTCATATTTTCAATTCATAACTTCTTTTTATTTGGTTCCGTGTGTGTCGAAATTTTGAAAGGTCACCAGCCAGATCATAATCGGTATGAATTTATAATCAAGTTTATCTACTGAATTTCATCTGGCATTCGTGCATACCAATGCGATCAGCATGATATTGTCTCGGTTTCGGGAAGACTTTTTTTTTCACAATTTTTTTTTTTAACTACAAAATCAAGATAAACACATTGTTTGGTTCATTGCCCAAAAGCAGAAAAAATCTTGTGAATGGCAAATTAGTTGTAAATGAGTTTGCGAATGGGAAAAACAGTGTGAAATCATCGATATGGTTTGTTTTTTGTTTACGCAATTTTTGGAAACGAAGAAGACAATTCTCGGAAATTCAACAATTTAAAGAAAAAAGTCGAAAATTTGGTTGCATTATTGTGGAATAAAGCCGATTAATGGGAATGAAGTCATTGACTCTCACAGTTGCAATAAAAATTGTGCAATTTAACCATTGGCATCAATTTTTTTGTTAATATTCTTTAGCTGAATGTTTAAGTGCAGAAGCCGCAGTCTCGAATCAGTGAAGAAAATTGATCTTAATGAAATTTCAGGTTGATTTTTGTGAGTGAAGAATATTGAATTTGGATTTTTATTAGAGAGCCTTGACCCAAGGCATTTGAGTTCAATACTAGAGGCTATACTCTATAGCGAAAAATCGCAACGAAAAAAACATCAAGCAAAGAATCTTCTCAAGAATGTAACGAAACTCGGAAAGATATAAAAGTGTGTGGATCGAATAAAACACGTAGAATGAAATGCATTTTAATGGCTTTTAAGTCGAAGTACGACTATGAGTAGTGAAGTTTTTGTTTATTCTTTCAAAATTTTGTTTAAAAAAAAGGTCCAAAACGAATCTCATTAAAAACCGGTTCATACAAAATTGCAGCTTATTGATAAAGATATAATCAAATGGATGGATTATAAAGTGAACAAAATTTTCAGTGGCATCAAATGGTTACAGTGACCAACATTCTTTTCATCCATAACCAGATATCGTGTACAGAACCTGCCACTTAAATGTATTTTATAACTTTCAAAATCTATACACTCGATACGGAATGTTTACGATTTTCAAAGAAAAAAAATCTTTTTGCTCAAAACTGATGGCGTACGCAGTGTGCACAACGCATATGACTCGTTTGACAGCCGATGTCGATGCAATCCACCAGAGCGTAAAATTAAGACGTGCACTTGCCATATATGGAACGATAGCGATAAATGCTACTTTTGTCCACGAACCAAAATAGAACAAAAATTACAAAATGTAATTGACATTGAAAGAGTGAATAAGAAATATTAGTAGGCTCCTGTTTAAATGGTGATTTTTTTTGAATAGGAAAAAATCATTGGAAAGATTTTTGTTCGGTTCAAAAATAAGAGAGACAAATTTGAATCTCAATTTATTATTCACTAATAAGAGATTAGTAGACATTAAAAGCAATAAATAAATCTGGCCATTATTACTTGAATTTTAATTCGGTTTGGTTTTCAATTTTCCTTATTGGGAATTCGGCAAATCTTCATTGAAAATTCGTTTTAATCATTAGTAATGATGGTTTATACACGATGTAACAATTTTCAACTTACTGATAATTATCATTCGACTATTACGTTAATTCCTTTAAGATTATCGTTCATTTGTGTCAGACCAATTTCACTCATTATTCGTAATTCTTTTCCATGTACATTCTAGCAGTATCTGTCTTATGTAGTGGCAAACCCAATAAACTGGCCAAGTTGCTTGAATGTTTGTATGGGAGCGTTTCAAGCTATACTCTTCGTCTAAACGACTAATTTCGAGTGTTTTGGCTGAAAAATATCTGGCTATTTTAACTGAACCTTAACTACAGTTGTTTGTTCTGGTCAAGATAATCTGTTTCGGTTAGACAATATCGGGAGATAAATATATCAATCGACTGGCTACTTTGTTAAAATATTTGCACATGTTTTTTCTTTCATTAAATTCTTCCTGTTCTTTGTGGTTAAAATTAATTGCATGAAATGAAAAAAAGAATCTGCTTTTCCTAAAACAGATGGGGGGAAAAACTTTCTGTCTTCGGCGAAGTTTTCAACAGAAAAAAAGTGTTTTTGGATTTTATCAGAAATTTCTTTAATCAAACTAGAGTTGTTTTTATGACATTCTTTACTATTTCATCGAAATACGCAATTATATCGCAGTCAATGGTAGATAGCTGAGGATATATGCTGAGCATAGAAACTGAACAAGCTAGCTGAGCAATATACCCAACCTAGGATTGGGCATATTTTGAATCTAATTGTTTGCTAACTGTGCAAATTCATGGGGAAAAATGAATTTATCACATGTGATTAAGTGCACTCAATCAAATACTTTCCATGAATTTTTGTTTGGTCTTAAATGCACTTGCTCATATAAATTTGCATGATTAGCAAGTTACAGGGTAATAACAAAATATAGCCATTGGGTACTACCCAATCCTAGTTTGCTGAGTTTTTATACACAGCATATATCCACACTCTATCTGCCATTAACTGTTTTATCGAAACATAATGTTTGCTCAAATGCAGTAAAAATCGTGATTAATCGCGTTACTCATTGTTTTATGATACGTCACGATTCGACGTCAATACCACGAATTAAGTTTTATCGCCTTCGCCATTTCTTTTTCATCAGTTTCCATCGAATTGATGTAGTGGCATTAGTAACAAAAATTAAATTGGAAGAAAAAAACCAAAATTGAATGAATAAAAAAGTGGTGTTCGAAGGAAAAGAAAAAAAAGTGGTCTTATTCAACGAATGAGAGAAAAACCTCATAATCGGACCACTGTTCAAAAAGGTATAGCTTCCAAAAATCTCGGTTAATTTAAAACCGTTTTGCATACGAATTTTGATCGTTTTGCATCGTTATGATAATCGATTAAAAACGAGTGATTAATTAAAAACATTTGTGTGGTGTAGCTGAGAACAGCTGATTTAAAATAACACTAAAAAGAGAACAAAACACCAAATGTTTAGAAGAAAAAAAATGTACCAAATCTGTTTAAAGAGAAAAAAAAAACTATCAATATTCTTCCCAAGAGAAACGGCCAATATGTTTATACGCTGTCTATTCGCCGAAAATACACTACAATATATATTCACGCTTATTGAACGCCCAATTGAATATATATATTCTAGTGTATATTCGGTGTATTCTTCAGCGTGAAACATATTGAAACATATTCAGACGCCCTCTGATGGCCATGAATGCATTCATTGATTCAATATGTTTCACGCTGAAGAATACACCGAATATACACTAGAATATATATTCAATTCGGCGTCCAATAAGCGTGAATATATATTGTAGTGTATTTTCGGCGGATAGACAGCGTATAAATATATTGGCCGTTTCTCTTGGGTTATTGAGTAAATATTGATGGAATAATTTAGTTTATTGAATATTATTAGGCGGCATTATTTGCAGTTGTTCTTATTTTCCCGTATTTTTCTTTATTTTGTCTTTATTTGTTATGAACACAAGTTGTATATCGATTTTAGTGGCAAATTTGAACAAATTTGTTTGGGTTATCACGATAAAAACGAATGTTCATTCCAATGACACTGTTCCATTTGGATTGTAAAAAGATCTATTGTGAAAAATAAGACAATTCTGTGAAGAAAACCAAACAATACAAACATTTAGCTAATTTAAAGAAAGTAAATGGGAATTTGACTGTGTCGGTTCAATGGTTTGAACACATTTATCGGTTGTGGAAATAGAAAAGAGGCAATAAAAATGTCCGCTGAGAAAATAGACTGAACTGGAAATGGAACAATGAATTTTTTATAAAAAATTGAGTTTAAAATGTGTATTAAACGCATGGAGATTGACTGAGACGGTTGAACACAGACCATTTGACGGTTTAAAACAGATCATTTGTTAGGTATTACTAGCCAGAAATAAAGAAACAAAGGCCCACTTTATCTAATCAGTATCCGCTTTTGATTTTTGTTTCGTTGACTCGTATGACAACTGACAAAATGTCAAAAAAAAAATCAGCAACGACGTGGTGATTTCCGTAGTTGAATGTTTTATTCTGGTTGCGTGTCCGAATCGAGTGACTGTATTTCATTTGTGATCGTATTTTTCAGACGACAGCAATGCGCCGCAATTTGACGAGCCTGTTCAAATTCACACTGTTGTGTGTATTGATGGTGGTGTTGACGGTGTTTCTGTATAAAACATTCTTTTCGACACATCATCGGTACAGTCGCGATGATGAACGGGGTCCGGTGGCCAGTGCACAGCGTGCAGCAGCACCATTTCATCCGCGGCAAGGTGCATTCTTTATGGGCACCGATAAAAACGCTAAACACGTCAAAATCGATTGGCACGACTATAAATTCATTCAAGCTGAACTATCGAGAAATGGGATCGGCGAACATGGTGCACCCGCATTTTTGCCAACCGATATGGAAGACGAACGCAAACGATTATTCGATCAAAATGGTTTCAACGCACTGCTCAGCGATAAAATTGCACTCAACCGATCGGTGAAAGATATACGACACAAAGAGTAAGTCATGCATAGAGGTTTTTTTTCTATTGGAATCGGTTTTTTTCTTTTCATCTTGCGAGAAGATTTTTTTTGTAGAGAGAGAACAATTGAAAAAAATCAGACGAACATTCCCAAAATTGTTGTTATTTTCATTTTAATTTGGTAATGATTTGTTTTCTTTCTCTCTCTTTCTCAAACGATTAATTTTTTTTCTCTTCAAACCTTTCATTTTCTAATCAATTTTCTTTGTGTTTTTTTCCACAGCTGTGCAAAACTTAAGTATTTGAGCGAACTACCTACGGTGAGTCAGTTTGAACAGTTGGACAACTTTGCTTACTTGTTTTGTGTGTGTTAATTTTAATTTGCTCGTTCTTTCTTCCACTTCGTAAAATAGGTTAGCGTCGTGGTTCCCTTCTTTAACGAGCACTGGAGTACACTTCTTCGCACTGTTTACAGTACTTTGAATCGTTCACCGTCCGACTTAATTGTTGAGATTATTTTAGTAGACGATGCGAGCAATAAGAAATTTCTTAAAACCAAACTTGATCAATATGTGGCGAAGTATTTGCCAAAAGTGAAAATTGTGCGGCTGAAAGAACGGTCCGGTTTGATTGTGGCACGATTGGCCGGTGCAAAAATTGCAACCGGTGATGTTCTTATCTTTTTGGATTCACACACTGAAGCCAATACCAATTGGTTGCCACCGTTGTTAGGTGAGTTTTGGACAATGTTTTAATTTTTTCTGGTTGCAATGTAGAGATTTTTTGCTCAGTTTTTTTTTTGGTGAAATGATATAACCCATACTATCATTAATGATGAATATATTCAAAAAACATTGTTATAAATCATACACAATTCTCCAGAAGAATTTAAGTCTTAGAGCCGTACCGTTGAATACTTAATTTATCAATAATTCTTGTTTAATTGCCACAGAGCCCATAGCGAAAAATTACAAAGTGTGCGTGTGTCCGTTTATCGATGTCATTTCATACGACACTTTTGAATATCGAGCACAAGATGAAGGGGCCAGAGGTGCATTCGATTGGCAATTTTTCTACAAACGATTACCTCTGCTACCGGATGATTTGGCACACCCAACTCGACCGTTCAGGAGTCCGGTTATGGCCGGTGGTCTATTTGCTATCAGTGCCAAGTTTTTCTGGGAATTGGGCGGCTACGATGATGGACTGGATATTTGGGGTAAGATTTCTTTCGAAATGAGACTTTGATCACTGTCATCACTACTGATTTTCGTTTTATCACTTACGTTGGACTTTTATTGACCATTTTGATATGAATGAATTTCATAAATTTTGTTCAATTTTCTTTGCAATTTTTCTTTTCAATTATTTGCCTCAATCAAAATTTCCAATACTTCTTCTTTACAAATCACAAACGAAGGTCAAACAAGACCACTCTAGTGGTTTTTGTTTTTATTGTCGGTTTTTTTTTAAATTGTAATTTATACAATATCTGTTTGAAATAAATAATTTTTCTGTTTGTTGCTATTCAATATTAGTCCAAAGTGCTTACTTAATTGCCTTTTGGTTTGATTTTCAGGTGGCGAACAATACGAATTGAGCTTCAAAATTTGGCAATGTGGGGGCGAGATGTACGATGCGCCATGTTCTCGCGTCGGGCACATCTACAGAGGAGGCGGTGTGCCTCAGCCAAATGGAAGAAAAGTTGACTTCCTGCATAAGGTAATATTCGTCGAAAAATCCATTCAAATGTGGCGACATTTGCCTTGCCTCATTCATCTACCATCTATTTTTCAATCTCATTCCTAAGATCATCTTCTACTTTAAATGTCACTCGAACCTTTTCCTTTTTTTTCTCAATTCTCCGTTTTCGAAGGAATATTTTTTTTTCATTATTTTTTCATGATTTGTTCAATATCTTGGTTAAATTATCGGTTCTTTTTTCAAATTTTTCTTTAAATTCTTTCATTATTTCTCACAGAATTACAAGCGTGTGGCTGAAGTGTGGATGGACGAATACAAAAACTATTTATATGAACGTGATCCGGAGCGATATGCAAGCATTGATGCGGGTGATTTGACAAAGCAGATGGCGATTCGTGAGAAATTGCAGTGCAAATCGTTCAAATGGTTTATGGAAGAGATTGCATTTGATTTACCGAAAAAGTATCCACCGGTTGAGCCTCCCGATTTTGCATCGGGCACAATTCGAAGTGTTTCACATCCAAATCAGTGCATTGACACGCTGAATCATGGCATTGGCCAGGAAATTGGCGTGTATTCATGTGCCGAAAACCACAAACGACCCCAGCTCAATCAATTCTTCGTTTTATCGTGGCACAAGGACATTCGTGTGCATGGCACCACCAAATGCTGGGACCTTTCGGTTTCATATAAAAATGCACCCATCGTTTTCTACGATTGTCATGGCCAACAAGGCAACCAATTCTGGAAATATATCATGGTAAGAACGATTCGCAATCGTCAGAAAAATTCTTTTCTTTTTACAATTTTAAAAAAAAATTCTAATTTTCTTTCGAAATTTTGTTCCTTCAGGATAAAAAATGGGTGCAACACAACGACCGTTGCTTGGACTTTGATCCAAAAACCTCCAAAGTCTTTGCAAATGCATGCGATGCGGCCAATCCAAATATGATGTGGAATTTTGGCTATGTGAACACAACGGCACTGCAGCAATTCGATAAAATTGGGGCGAAAAGATAGAAATAATTTTAATTTATTTGACATTTTTCTGATGGCTACCGATCTTAACTTAAGATTTTTAAGGTATAATCTTGTAGGTTACCCTGGGTAACTTATCCCCATCCGTGAAATGAAGTAGATTATTGAGAGAAGCATTAGAAAAACACAAAACTAACAACCTTCGAACCATTTGTTTTCGAACAAAGGATGTTCATCTAAGTGCATTCTCCAAAACAGCTACAATCAGATGGAATTTCTCTCAAGCCATGGCTAATATCATTACTAATGTAGATATGAGAATTTAATTATTTTTCGATACCCGATTTTTATGCAAATCAACAACCACTTATATTTTTTTCTTCCATATATTGATCACGATGAAGTATTGATATTTTAAGTAGAAATGAACAAAACCGAAAAAAAACGCATCGATCAATGTACAGACGCCAGCAGTGAACATAACATTCGCTAGTCAGTTAGTCAATAAATCAACGAATTTAAATGTAAGAGAACAACTTATCCTAATTTCAAAGAGTCCTGTATACAAGTGTCACTCGACCGGGTGTTGCTACTTGGACTTTTGTTCGACTTTTAATCCGAAACATATCTTCATGTATTGATATCATTATGTATTTTGTTCTAAGCTCATTTTGTTCCGCAATGCAACGAGAATTTTTATCGAGAATACGCATTACGTTTAAGATTGTGTATCTGTTAGGTTATTATTATTGTGATGTTTATTAAACAATGAACAAAGAAATTCGATTTTTTTAAATTTCATTCCTTTTGATTGTATTTTATGATCATCAGAATCCGTTTGAGATCCGAAGACGGTGTGACATAGTTAAATTTTCGCTCAAGTGTTTCAAAGTCAGCGATTTCCACCTGAAAATGAAATTTTTTGGTTTTAATTATTAGACAATGTAATTTGATGGGAAAAAAATGATTGAATTGTTTTCAAAATATACATTATTTAAATTGGAGATTTGGAGGTTGTTTTCATTGAATCATTTTTTTCAATATAATTTTTTTTTTGATTTTTTTTTTAAATTGTCATATTTTTTCTATGATTTTCTTTTCTATTTTTTGCATTGAATGGATTGTTTTGCCAAAGGAGGCCAGCACTATGTGCCGATGAAATCTATGGGACCAGGCGCAACTTTCGTGGGATATAACCTATATGCCTAATTGAGTTTTAAGGGGAGAAAAATGCATCGATAGTGTTGGGGATGAAATTTTTCAACATTCGAAGGCGAATTTAGAGTATACACCCAACACGAGTTCGCCATGGTCAGATTTAATTTAGATTGATTTAGATTGTGGCCTGAGCTTTAGCATTCGCTTCAGATTTGCCGTCAAGTTGATGGCGTTAACTTCACCTTTGAATCTGACTCAGTTAGAGTTTCACTTCGGCTTATACTATTCATTTACTCCTCATTTTTGCAATACTTATTCAGCCAATTTAGCCGCTTTGAACTACAACCTCTAGCATCTCGTGTCTAGAATCTCGCAAACTTACCTCATCGCATGGATCCTCATCAAAGGGTAAGTTATTCAAGAAACGTTCGGCAAAAGCGACTAATCCGCACCAGCTGCGAAAGTTGACAAATGGATGATCGTTTTCATTGACATTGGTCAACTTAATGATTTGTTCAATTTTGCCTGCCATTTGCTCGACTGGGCCGCAATATCCGAGAACATTTGTAAAACCATTGGTTAGTTCATTGAATGGCATAACACATTCTTTGAATACATAAGCCTGAATTGATTTTTCCGTGGCTCGGCTCGGTGTATCGCGTTCGAGTTCGTGTTCATCTTCATCTTCATTGTCATTGTCATTGTCATTGTCAATATCCTGGTCATCAGTCACATCGCACACATACTTATTGAAAACGAACCGATACAGATGCTTTCGATGATTCGAAATCCAAACGTATTGACTCAAATACTCGAACACGGTCAACGTGGCCAACTTTTGCGTATTAACGGGCAGACTGAATCGAGCGGCTGATCGTAGAAATTTACGCGGCATTATCAGCCATTTGTCATTGTTCACGCCACTTTCTACGCCAAACGATTGTTTGAACTCTTGCAACGCAGCACTGCACGTGTTAAACTGATCCTTGGGTATCGTTTGAAGCGCCTCTTTTAAAGCGGTGTTCATCTTGAGGTGGGAAAATGAATTTAAAACTTGAAAAAAAAAATTGAAAAGAAAATAGAAATGAATTTCGCTTACGAATTTCTCAAATGCACTTTCGACAATGTCAACATCAAGTCCACGGCGTAGAATTTTCAGTGCGTCTTCGGTGATAAAATTAGAACGAAGATACTGGCTGTCGCGGCTCCGTTCAGCCGTTGAATCGTGTGTCGATCCTTTGGCCATGGCCTCTTTATTGGCCATTGATGGACGTGCGCTGGCATTCGGTGAATCTGGGCCAATGGTCATGATTTGAGTTTCGGGCTCTTGATTCATTCGGAACGTATTCCCGTCCTTTTGTTTTTTCTTCTTCTTGCCGCGTCGTCGAGTGCCATCCACCTCCTCTTCGACATCGGCACGGTCATTTATGCACACCACGTTACTTGGTACCGGCTCTTCTATCGGTATTTGCAACGCTTTTCGTTCGGCCGATTTTCTGCGTGCTTCTTGTTCGCAAAGACGCATATTTTTCGGTGGATCGGGAATTTTCACCAATGTTTTTGAGGTCAAAGCCACCGAATCGGCTGTGATTGATATCTCCGACGATGCATTACAATAGATTGTCTCCTGACTGTGACTTCGGCGTAAATCCAACACCAGTTGTTTACGTTCGTTGGCACACGTGTTGACTGGGTCGGGAGTGTGACATCGCCGTCGATGAAATAAATACGAATTTTGACTGACACGCGTTCGATTGCTGATTATGGTTGGGGTCGGGGTTAGTGGACGTGAATCAGAATCGGCATAGTGGAAATAATCCTCGGGCAGTTTTTGCGGATCAACACTTGATGTGATGTTGACCAATTCACAGCTCACATCATCGCTACACGTATACATACAATTCTCATGACTTGGACTCATGTTACCTTTACCTTCACGCTCTTTCACCTGTTTCACCACATTTTTTATCTCATTCGGACCTGGATGATTGCACAAAATTGAACAGTTTTGCGAATACGGATTGAATAGACCGGCAAATGGTCGCAGGGAATATTGAATCGATTTCGCACATTGCGTCAAATTCAAATCTAAAAGATAACGGGATTTTGTTCGTGATTTTCGCACTTTTCGCGGACTGACCAACAAACCGGTTCGACTTATTGGATTCCCTTGACTCATCTTGATGCGAACAATTTTGGTTTGGACTTTAATTTTGGTTCGGTTTGGACTTTGTTCTTTTATTTTCACTCGATTTCCATTTCAAACCCGGTTTGATGAAAAATTTGTTGATTTGATGCTGCCATGGCAACGTAACGGTAATGAAGCAGATGCGAGTTGGGTTTTGGTTTACGATGGCAAACGATTCATTCGAAAATATCCAAAGACGCAAAGACAATTAAATATAAATCAAAATATATATCCAAAGAAAATTCTTAAAAAATTCAATCTTCAACATCGGCAAACATTTGTTTTTTTATTCTATTTTCTCATTTTGAATGATTGGATCATATCCAATATCCAATGGATACATTCCAACAATTATTGTGCAATGAGTGAAATGTATCGAATGAACACTGATTTAAGCAAAATATTCGGGAATGATTATAACTTTTTCAATAGAGTGGTCGCTTCCTCCTTGCATTTCTTGTCATCCTCGTTCCTGAAAGAAAAGACAAAACAATTAGCACCTCAATGGTTTCCCCAAATTTGTTCATATGAAAAATGAAATCTTGATATTTTTTTATACAATGAATTCAATTGTTTTTCACATAAAAACGTCTAAGAATGCATTTTGATGCCACAATATGTGGGTGAATATACAAAATTCTTGAAAATTTATTGAATTTAATGAAAATGCCTATTTTTGTAGAAAAAAAAATGATCAAAAATTCTATAATGTGTGCGTGAAAACGCACATTGAGAAGAAAAGCATATTTTAAGAAGAAAAAAGCGTTGAAACACACAGAAAGATCATAAAGAAAGAAATGTATGAAAAGACATAGAAAATATCGGTAAAAAGCAATGAAAAAAACCAAAAACAAAACAAAAAAAGCCACAAATAAGAGACGGAAACTGCGATAAAAATCGTGATAAACTTACAAAACTTGGACGTTAGCGGCTCTGTCGAGGAATTCCTTGGCCTTTTCGTTGTTCTTCAGATTGTAATAGCACTTTCCGATGAAAAGGAGGTTCATTGAATAGAAATTGGCTTTCTTTTCCTCGGCTTTGAGGAAATAGTCCAGTGACTCTTCGTAGGTGCCAGTTGGTGCCGTTGAAAAAATGGTCGACATAATTTTTCGGTGAACCCATGGCATATCAGCCAAACTAAATGAAAACATACCCAGCAAATACCAATTCGATGGATCTTCCGAGTTCATTTCAAGGGCCTTTTGCATATGCTTCTTCACATTTTTCAATTGAGTAATGCGCTCCTTGAATAAACACAAGAAATTTGAATTGAAAACAAGTTCAATTTTTGTTTTGGTTGGAATGGGAGTTAATTATTTATAATTAAAACAAAATTCATTGCACTTGAGCCGTTTTAGTACTGTTTCGTATTTCAAGTGATTCAGCATGAATCATCCGACTGATTGATTATAATCAAGGCCGCGTGAGAGATGACGTTGAAATTCATTGAAAAGCGGTTACTCAGATAATAACAATAGTTCCCAGAAGCCGATTACAGAAATCGTTATCGAAATGGCCTTTGATATATTACCTTTACCCCATCCAATTCACTCTTAGCATCCAGCAAAACGGCCATCCATTTATGGCATTCGTAATTGTTCTCGTCCAATTCCAATGCTTTTTGAATCAATTCGAAGCCCTCACGAATGAGTTCCTGTCTCTTCGCTTTATTTTGTTTCGACAACTTGTATAAGGCGCGCGCTTCACGCCACGGAATATTTGCATCCGATTGATTCTGAAATCGAATTTGATTATAACATTTTATGGAAATCGAATATTTGTGTTTAAAAATTCATCAATAAATAATTCATGGTGAATTCTCTTTCAAAGAGATGAAAATAAGACGGTTTTTCCTTACCGGGAATGTTTTCAACAGATCAATCGCCTCTTGATATTGATTTTCATCGAATAAGTGATCCGCATTTTGGAGCAAATGTTGCAAATCCATTTCTTCAGCCATTTTCAATTTTGATATTCCACTTGATGTCAGTGACCAACGAATTTCACAGCGACACGGAAACTTACGAAAGTTCTAAATATGTGGAAAAAGATTGAGAGAGAGAGAGAGAGAGAGAGAGAGAGAAAAAGAGCAAATAAATGATTAACAATGATTAAAATTCTACTTCAGAACTTTTTACATTTGAATAAAGAAATTCAACGTTTTCCAATCTATTTGAATTTCGAACGGAATGAATTTTTCATTCAAGTTTTTAAACGGTTCTCTTATTTTCCCCCTCTATTACACTTACTTACATTTACTTCTGGAAGTTGAGTCAGTAATGGCTATACGGTACGAACAATGTTGAATTTATATGATTCAAAATGAACAAATTTGGGATTTATTAAAGCGGTAGGGATGATTATTGACACACAAATTAAACAACCAAATAAAGTAATGAAGTGACGATGTATCATCTCTGGATACGTTCAAAAGTGAACTTAAACGTTTTGAAAAATTACTCACCATATGGATAATTAGCTTATTTGGTTTTAATAGCAAACTTCTGGATGATTTGCCGATTGTCTTGAGAAACTTAAACGTTAAAAAAAGCTTTTTTTTTCAATGAATGTGAATAACATTGACAGGAGATCACTGAAAAATTCAATTCGGATTATTTTCGAGCTAAACGCTCAAAATTCGTTTTATTCTTCGTTCATTTGATGAACGCTTGATAAAAATTGGGAAGATCTGGTAAATTATCCCTACCAATAAAGATCTGTCTTTTATAGACATTCAGAGGAAAAATTTAGTCGATTTTCCTATTGAAATTTCAATTTTTTGATCCTTTGTTTTTCGTGCAGAAAATCCGTTTCTAACTAAAGTTGCGTTTGAGTCTTCAAAACTTTTATTATCAAATATTTGATTGTACTAGTATTCGATTGTTCTTCATAAAAAGTGAAATTTTTTTCATTCATTCAATGTGTCATATTATTTTGTGGCAATTGTGTCAATCACAAAATTTTCAGTAGATGAATGAGTTTCGAGTATTTTAATCAGTAAGTTTCAAGAACTCCTCTCGGCCCATGCCTGGACCGGTCAAAGTGTCGGCCTTTTTTCTCTATGTACTCAATCGCACATTGAATTTTTTGTTGATTAAAAACACAAACCAACATAAAAACACACGCACGACTGAAATGTCTATGTATGTGAAACCTTCGCCTATATACAATACTGCAGGGTGTTGTGTTTATATCTAGGGACCTACACACAAAATCTTGAAATCATACTTGTTCACTCTGTTATCAAATTACTATCGTGATTCATGTAAATACGAATGATTTGATCAGAAAATGGTTGATTTTTAGGTGAACGATTTGGTTTTGGATTTTAATTTTGTTTTTGTTTGGCCTTTGTTTTTGATTTCCTCTCCATTGCGATTCCAAACCCGGTTTGAAAGACAATTTATTGATTTGATATTACCATGGCAACGCAGCAGTAAGTTGTGTTTGGTTCGAATAATACGATGGCAAAATTTACTTCTAAATTCATAAAACCATTTTAATTTGTAATAAAAGTAAATTAAAGCGAACAAAAATGAAAACTCCTCTTCTTTGTAATAAAACCATCCACTTGTTTATCCGTTAAAACACCCACACACGCTTTATTCAATGACATTATTAGAAAAATATACCGAACCATTCCATTCGTTAAAAAAATACATGTGATTACAATTTTTTTAATAGAGCAGTCGCTTCTTCCTTGCATTTCTTGTCATCCTCGTTCCTGAAAGAAAAAAACAAAACAATTATTAATACGAACAAATTGAAAAAGAAAAAAATTAAGAAAAAGAAATCTTCAATGTTTTGTATACAAAGAATTGAATTGTATTTTTAACACAAAAAATTCTTAGAATGCATTTTAATACCAAAATGTGTGAACGAATAGAAAACATGCTTGGAAATTGGTCCAATCTATGAAAATATTCTATTTTTGTAGAAAAACACATCATAAACCGCATAATATATGCGTGACAACGTATCGACTCATTTTGTGAAGAAAAAAAAAATCATTGAAACACTTTTTCGCCTGAGTGTTGAAAAGCCAGAAAGGAGAAAAATGCGTTGCAAGTCATTGGATAGAATAGGGCAAAATAAGAAGGACAAAAGAAAAGTGATTATTTCACTTGAATTGAAAATTTCGAAAAAAATTGACATGAAAATCATATTGAAAATCGTCGGAAAAAGAGTAAAAAAAGCAATAAAAACCGAAATAAAACAAATAAAATTAAAAAGCCACAAAGAGACGGAAAGAATTGCGATAAAAATCACGATAAACTTACACAACTTGAACGTTAGCTGCTCTGGTGATGAATTCTTTGGCCTTTTCGTTGTTCTTCATATTGTAATAGCACTTTCCGATGAAGAGGAGGTTCATTGAATAGAAATTGGCTTTCTTTTCCTCGGCTTTGAGGAAATAGTCCAGCGCCTCTTCGTATGTACCAGTCGGCGGCGTTGCGAAAATGGCTGACACAATTTTTCGCTGATACCATGGCATATCAGCCAAACCGAATGCGAAATTACCAAGCAAATGCCAGTTGGTCGGGTCTTCCGAATTTAAATCAACGGCCTTTTGCATATGCTTCTTCACATTTGCCAATTGACCAACGCGCACCTTGGATAACCACAAGAATTTGGAATTTTAAAAAATGTTCAATTTTTAAGGGGGGAAAATTTTTGATATGAAGAATATTCCGGATGAAATTCTTTGCATCTGATTTGTCTCTTCAACAACATTGTGAATTCTAACGTCATAGCCATGCCCACGCCAATGATGAGATCATAGAAAATGATTCACGTTACTTAACCGTGGCCACTCAGATGCAATTAATTTGGTTCCCTGAATAATTGGTTGTTTTGTCATCAATTTAAAAAAATCTTCATCAAAGTAACCTTTTGATCCATTTACCTTTATCCCATCCAATTCACTCTTAGCATCCAGCAAAACGGCCATCCATTTATGGCAAGCGTAATTGTTTTCGTCCAATTCCAATGCTTTTTGTATCAATTCATAGCCCTCACGAATGCTTTCCTCTTTCTTCGCTTTGTTTGTTCCCGACAACTTAAATAAGGCGCGCGCTTCACGCCACAGAATATTTGCATCCGATTGATTCTGAAACCGAATTTGATTATAATATTTTATGAAAATCGAATTTTTGTGTTGAAAAATTCATCAAATGAATAAGTGATGAAGGATTCTCCATTCAAAGAGATGAAAATAAGACGGTTTTTTCTTACCGGGAATTTTTTCAACAGATCAATCGCCTCTTGATATTGATTTTCATCGAATAATTGATCCGCATTTTGAAGCAAATGTTGCAAATCCGTTTCTTCAGCCATTTTCACCTTTGACGATCCAATCAATGTCAATGTCCAACCAATTTCACGGCGACACGGAAACTTACGACAATTCTAAAAATGGAGAAAAAAAATTGAGAGAGAAGAAAAGAGCAGGAAACTCAACGAATTGAATCAACATAAATTCTAGTTTAGGAATTTTTACATTTGAATAAAAACAAATTCAATGTTTTCCATGGAATTGAATTGCAATTTAAATGTGATTTGAATTTCGATCCCGGCAAAACGAGCGATTAAATTTTTTTCGATTTATTTCTGAATTTTTTCTTCTTTTGATACGAAACTTTCGGAATTCCGATCAATTTTTCGTCTTTCCATATGGAACTTTGAGCTCAATAGCTCAATATGAAAAATTTCTTTGTGTGTTTTTTTTCCCATTGAATTTTGTTTTTCTCATAAAAAAAAACGGAATGTTCATCGCTGCGTGATTTTTTCACTCAAAAAAAGACAAAAAAAATCATCATTATCCGCATCAAAACTTCAAATTATAATGAATTTTCGATGAAAACCCTTAAATTATCACTGATTTCCTCGAGTATCATTCGGATTTGTTTGTTTTCTAATTTTCTGAGTGTGTTATTAAACTAACATATGTCGTTATCTCAAGTGAATAGAATTTCAATCAAAACAACTAATTTCATAACGTACAAAACGGTATATTTGATAGACTGACCTATGGCCACACGGTACAAACAGCAATTCCTGTTTCTCAGCGATGCTCGTAATCAGAATTTTGGCTGGTACACAGCACATTTTACCAGTTGCTACTTCGGTCATATATTCGTTGATGCGAGTATAGTGTGAGTACAACTTACCAGTTAGAACGTGTGTACATAAGGCGCGAACTAAGACGACAATTCACCTCGCAAGAATTCGACCGCTTCGCACACACGTTGTAACTGGTAAATCGTACACACGAGCCACAGTTTGCTTTGATTTGCATGAACGAATGTATGACCGAAGTAGCAAATGGTGAAATGTGCTGTGTACCAGCCGATCAACTGGTGACGTGCGTCGCTGAGTTATTTATAAATTTATTAAAGCGAGAGAGATGATTTTCAACACCGAAAATACACACAGTCGACTGAATGTGAGCCTAAAGTCCAATCAACGACCGAACTGTACAGTTCCAACAGCTGTTCTCTAGTTCAATGACAACGGCAACGAAATATAGACAAATTAATACAGTTTTGGATCGGGGCACAGAACGGCGCATTGTTTACGTGTCCGAACGTGCGCAAACAAAGGGAAAATGGATGTATTCCAACAATTCTTGGGCGAATCAAAAAGATTCTGGTTTTTTCAAGAAAAAGAATTCGATTTCATGGAATTATAATAACGGAAGCGGATTAATTTTGATTTCTGAGCATTTTTCGTGTGAAAAATTAAGGTTTTGACAAAAATTCACAGTTTGGTGGTGAAAGAATAAACAACACAATGTTTATTTGAGTCTTGGAGACTCTGTTGGTATTGAAAAATTCGATTGCCCTTTGAAAAATGTGAAAAAAGTCATTTTTTCCCTGCATGTGTTGCGTTATTTACGGCATTTGTATCAATCACATAAATGTCAAACTATAAATATACGAGTTGCAATCACTTTTTAGTTGCCGATCACCTATCGGCCTAAGGCTGGACCGGTCAAAGTCTTAGCTATATTTTTCGCTATGTATTTAATCGTACATTGGACTTTCGGTTGATTAAAAACAAAAAGCAAACACAGAGACATACAGTGTATGTCACACACGACCCAAATGTCTGTGTGTGACAATTGCGCCTACATACAATAGCCGGGTTCGTGTGTTTATTTACATACAAAATTTTGAAACCATTCTCATGCACTCGAAAATACTTTGATCCATTTTTATGCACTCAACGATTCGATTCGTTCTTCTGCACTCTGTTATCAAGTCATATCATGACACGGATCGCAACCATCACCATTTCGAATGAGAAAAAAAAAACTTCCAAACAAATAAACACCACAAAACTCTTGATTCAAAGTAGGAACAAACCAGACCGCAGATCGTCGCTTCGCTCCTCTCTGCTGTTCTTCATGTTATTTAAAATTTAGTGTTTAAATTAATTTGATGTTCCCATCAAATTATTCATCGAAGCACTACATTGAATAAAGTTTCAATCGAAGCATACATTTCTTTATTTTATGAAAATTATTAGAATTAATATCAAGTATGTTCGATTCGGACTCTGAAGATGTTAAAATCTAAGGTGGAAATTGTACATTATTTCACATTGAGAATTAAAATAATATGAAATTTTTTGTAATTGCTTTATTTCAAATTAGAACTTTGGATAGAAAGAAGAATTAATTTTCGGTCCAAAACAATAGCCTATATTCTATGTAGTGCTAAAAACGCATACCTGCAATTGAGCGAATAATAAACGTGAAGTGCACTTGAGCCAATGTTCGGGTGATTGGAATGAACGTCGAAAATTGTGTGTTAAAATAGCGTAAGTGCTTCGCCAATGCAATGGTCTGTTCATTGATAATAAAATAAGGATTGATTCCGATTGAAATGCCCCGACTAAACTGAGCTCCGTGTAATGAGCTCCTCTATTGCTTTGGATGTACGTGACAATTTGTGTTGTTAGTTGTTATGGTTGACGTTGTCACACATGTAAAAAAAACAAGTAAATAAATGTTAGCTATCCAAAGGAGCCGCGACATCTACCGTCTAATTGCTGTAAACTACGTGACAGCATTGACAGTCGGCAAACAAACAAGCATGCTACAGAATGGCATTCAAATCGATGCAAAGTTTTTGATTCATTGTTTTTGTTCTGAGCTGTTGATATAAATCATGTTGATGATTCGACGAAGTGAGTGAATATAAATTGGTTCCTTTGTGGCCAATTGTTACTTTAAGCATTTGGATTGTTTTCCAAGTGATTTGAAACCATTTCATTCGTTGCCGGTTCATTTGTGGTAGATTTTAATTGCGATTTTTTTTTTTTGCAGGTTATTTAACGTCGAGGTTGCCAAAGTTGAAGCTGCCTTTGGATGATAACACTTCAATTGGGAAATTCTTACGACAAACAAAACGATCGTGCCCACGACGTAATCAGATCTTGGGTGAGGAATTTTGCCGATTTGCCATTCGATTGAAGGTGTACACAACGGCCGATAACCATGAACGGAGTGACAAAAAACGATTGCATGAAATGTGCCAAGAAGTAGCGACTAAGTTGGATTTGATTGATCCGCAGCCCAATGAATCCAGTCACATTAAATTACCATCGACCGGACAATTTTTAACAGAAAGCATCAGCAGATCGCTAGGCAAATGGAAGCAAAATGCACATCAAGAAATTTGGGTATGGATTTTTGTAGGAAAATTAGAGTTTTTAAGAGATGATAAGGAGAATTTTTGTTTTAAAAGAGGGAAAGTGTCTTCTGTTCATAGGTATTTGGGACTTTACGCTCAAAACTCTTCTCGCTGAACGAAAATTTCCCACTTTTAAAGTAGATTTCTGTTTCTTTTTTGAGAAAATAGCCAGTTTTCTACTAAAAATGTTCAATTTTTACTCGCAAATCTTCATTTTTCAATCATTTTTTTCTCAAAACTAATAGTTTTTTCTACTCAAGAATGATATTATTGGCTCACATATGAGATTTATGGTTGAATGACGATAAAAGATATTTCTTGAAGAAAAATGACAAAATTTCACTAAATTTTAAATTCTAAAATCGTTATTTTTTTCCGGAATAGTTCAAAGTTCAATGAAAAAAATAATTTTTTTTTTTAAAGATTTCAATTGATTATAAAAATTCAAGTCTTCACCGAAAAACTCATGGATTACCTTCATTTCTAATAAAAAAAACTTATCATTTTCAGAGTTTATACAAAAACACACCCCAAAGCAGTGATGACTTCATAGTCGAAAGGGTGAGAGGGATAAATTATTCGTTGATTGGATGGTATTTGCAAACGTATGGCATGCAAAATGCTCTGGCTTTCATCGATTGGTTGGGTGTACCGCTGATTTCTGACACTGGAACATATTGTTGGCCACAGCCAAAATCGCCGTTACTCGTTGAGAACAGTGTCGAAACACAGCGCAGATTGAATGAAATTCTTGATGGATATGATGCAATTGAGAAGAAACTTCAATATAAATTCCAGGACAAAGCGTATTTATTGCAATCAGTTAGTCATGAATCATTTACGACGAATGAATTAACGCCAAACTATGTTGGATTAGATTTTGTTGGCGATGCCATCACAAACTATGCCATTACTCGACATCTCTTCCGTCAATTGCAATTCCTTGACGCAACCGATTTGGAAAATGCCTGCCAGTTGCTGTATTCAAACAGTTGTTTTGCCACGGTTTCCGTTCGAAATGAATTTCACAAATTTTTGAGATATACCCACCCGGAGATACGCAACAACATCAACAGTTTTGTTGCTTTTCTGCGAGCAAATCGATTCAAACCGGTGAATGATGTAAGTTTTTGTGGCTTTTTCTCTTATGATCCTGATGTATAGTGGTCTTTTTTTTCTTCTTCTTCTTCTCCTTCTGTGTTGTTGTTTTTTTCTCTTTCATTCTGCATCCAAATTTGTGAATTTAATTTTTAAATTTTTCATTGCAGTTACATTTTCTCGACAGAAAAAATTTCATATTTGAGGTGCCACCCATAATTCCAGGCAGCTTTGAGGCACTCATCGCTGCTGTTTATTTTGACTCAAATATGGATATAAATGTTGTATCAAATGTAAGTTGAGCTTGAGCTCTATGGGAGAGGTAGAGTGCATAGGTTTTGAATATTCAAGATTCGATACAATATTTTATGAATCATGGACATTTTTTTCATGCGATTTACGACGAAAATGGATGATAACAACCCATTTGAATTTAAAAAAAAATTCTCAAATGTCCTTTGAATAGAGCACAACAATGAATCTTGTTTTTCATCTAGTTTTAATCTAAACTGAAATATGTCTTTTTCTTCAAAACTCTAAATTGAATTCTATTTTTCTCTTCGTTTTTCAAAGACAATGACGATCATTTAGAATACATTCATTTTATTCCCATTCATTAGAAAATAGAGAATCCACTTAAAACCCTTCTTAATTTCCACAGACACTTTTAAACTTGATGCAGTGGGACTTGAAGGTGATTTGCGGAACAAAGCCCAAAACAGCATATGTTGAACTAGAACAATTGGATCCAACGGCTACATTCAGGTACACCTACACTAAATAAATTGAAGAAATTAGAAATTACAATGAATAAGAAATTTACCGCCAATTGCCGTCAATCGCAAAAAAATATAAATATTTGTTGGAAGCTTCAACTTGAAATTGAAATTTTGAACAAAAAGGATTCATTTCACGACTCTACCAATATTCCACATTTTGAACAAGATTTTTCAGTGCTATTTCAAATTGAAATTTCTATTATTCAGAATTTTCTCATCAAATCTTCAACGATAAAATGGTATGGTGTACCAAAAATCACCTCGGAAAGAAATTGTTGCCACTGTTTCGCACAATTTACTTTGGAATGTCTTGAATGACGTAGTCGTCAACTATTGAGACGACAGATTTGATGCGATGACCGTTGAAAAGAAAAGCGCTTAGATCAAAGCGAAACATTTAATTTGAATAATTTTCCAGTTAGTCAAAAATGGGAATTTTCTGAAAAGTAGGAAAGTGGAGATCAATTTGTTTTTGTTTGGACAAAGTGTTAGTTCATAGTTTGAATTTTCAACAAATATTTAGTTTTGCAGAGCATGTAAGCGATGCTAACGAAAAATCCCTTTTCAAATAAACGAACATCATAAGAACACTTATTTGGTATAGAAAACGTTTTGAAAACGATCAATTACTCATTTTCTACCAAACATTCAACATTTTCTTTCGAATTATTTATTTGTTTGTCTACTGGTTGCAAAAAAATGAGTTAAAATCAAACAAAAAATTAATACAAAAACAAAATTAAAACAATTTAAATTTTCAGCAAACCAATCACAATGGGACCGGGAAAAGTTCAAGTAACTGTCACTCTGCCAAAGTACCAAAACAAACGCTTCAACGCCGTGTCCAGGGATCCTCAACTGGCCAAATGGGGTGCGGCCAAAACAGCTGTGATTCAACTTAAAAAACAATCAAACGTCTTTATACCAGTCACACATAACGAGTTGTATCAACACTTCAAAAATAAGCAACAAATTGGAATCAAATACAATAAAGTAGAATAAACTGATGAAAATAAATATTAAAATAGTATAAAAATCCAAATGTAAAAAGGTTTTATTTCATTTCAACTTTTTTTCTGCAGTTTCGTGAACTGAATTGTTCACTTTTTCCAAGAATATTTTGACTAAAAGTTGTACAGATTTTTATAAAGCAAAAAATTCGAAATTATCATGTTAGATTTGAAAGGTATTTGAAGAATTTGTTCAGGACCATAAAATGAGAATGGGTCTACTTCATGCTAATGCCAATGTTGAACGTTCAACTTTCGACGTTTTTTCAATAACACACCAAACGAAATATCGCACCACACTCAGTCCATTTTCACCGCTTAATTTTGACATTTCAAACTGCACCATAGCAGCGATAAAACTTCTTTTTTGGCGAACATACTCACGAGCAATTGGAAGTTGAAAAAATATTCCAATTCAAAAATACAGAACTACTCTGAGAAAAGAGATTTATGGTTATGTTACACTTTTTGTTTTGACTGTTATTTCACAACAAGAACTTAGCCATCGATTTGTTGAACAGTTGTCAAACTTTTTACTTTGATAAAGATGGACGTCAGTTGAAATCATTAAACGATATTAGATACGGTTGAAGTGACCGTTCAATATACATTTTCTTCGTGTTGCTCAAGAAAACAAAAAAAAAGGTTCTAAAAAATGCACGCTTGCTTACTGCATTTACTTACATAGAGAGGATCTATTTTACTTCATATGACATGTCTTGCGATGAAAGTACGTTTAGCGACAGAATCGTGCCCATTTCACATAATAGCATTTTTGGAGACTTGGCTCACAGAGAGCATTACAAACATAGAGCATTTTAGTAAAAAATACAATGTGTATCGCGGTGATCGTACAGTTTTGACCAGTGAAAGAAGTGACGGAGGTGGAGTTTTAGTAGCGATAGACTCAAAATTTCACAGTGAAAAGATAATTTTAACGGAAAATAGCAGACTTGAATTATGTTTGTGTTAAAGTAAAGCTGACGAAGTGCAATATTTACATTTTTGCTGTTTACATTCGTTCTGTGCATGAAACAGAGAAATTTTTAGAATTTGCCGAGACAGTGACGAAAATTAAATATGATGATAATGACACGGTAATTGTGTGTGGTGATTTTAATCAGTCGGGAATCAAGCGGATTAAGGCGGACGACGGTGATTACTACCTGCCAATGAATGTGACAACGGAAGGTGGCGTAGCTGTCATTGATACAATGCTCGGTTGCGGTTTCCATCAAATGTGCAATCTCGAAAATGCTGCCGGAAATGTTTTGGATCTCGTATTCACAAACAGATTCTATGATTTATCGCTTTCGGAGTCGTTGACACCGTTGATAGAAACCGATGTGTGGCACAAAGCGATCGAAGTTGAAATCACAATTGATGAAAATGAGAGTGAATTGAATGACGTAACTGAGTTTTACAAGTATGAAGCGGCTGATTTTGTGGCGATGAATGAATTCTTTGTTGGGAGAGATATTTCAACGGAAATTGAGCAGCAGGACGACATTGAGAATTCGTTTCGGATGTTTGAGAATGTTGTGTATGAAGCAATGGACAAATTCGTTCCAAAAGTCACCGTTGAAAAGAGCACAGATCCACCGTGGTACAATAAACAGTTGAAAAACTTGAATAACCGAAAAAGAAAGGCACACGGGCGCTCAAAAATCACAAACGATTTCGCCGATTACATGGCTATCACTGATTCCTTCGTAGCGTTACAGGGTCAGCTGTTTCAGACATACATCAGCCGCATACAATCGGACATTAAATCAAACCCGAAACATTTTTGGAGATTTGTGAACGACAGACGCAAACGCAGTGAGATTCCGTCGATTGTTGAATACAACAACCAAACAGCAATTAGTGACGCATCGAAAGCGGAGTTATTTGCGAATTTCTTCGAAAGCCAATACATACCGAGTGATGACATTGATTTGGATAACTTGCTAAGTGAATGCGGTGATAATGCGTTTGACATCGAACTGAACGAGGCTGATGTATTGAAGGCACTGCTTTCGATCAATGTGAACAAAGGAGCTGGACCCGACAGTATTTCGCCAAAATTGCTAAAAAACTGTGCGCATTCATTAACAAAACCATTGACACAACTGTTCAACAAGTCATTGCAAGCGGGAATTGTGCCAAACATTTTGAAAAACGCGAGAATAATACCGATTTTTAAATCTGGTAAAAAAAGCATGGCATCGAACTACAGG